GGAGGAGTCTTCCCGGCTCTATCCAGCGATGCCTTGAAGTGAAGGAGTATTTGATTCACTGTGGCTTTTTTCCCCCTCTGCCAGGGTTGTGGTGCTGGAGAGTAGGCCGACGGACAACCCAACCGCCAACAGCAATTTATATATCCTGGCAGGGCACGAGAACAGTTACTGAGACCAGTGCACGGCGACTCACCGTGACAAGAGAACACTCCTGCTGCAGAGCTCGGGGCAGGCTGAAAATGCACAAAAGCTGCAGCAACCTGACTTCAGTTACTTAATAATTTATTGTGGCATGAGAAGATGATGAGAATTGTTTGTGGTATGGACACATTAGCATTAAGATACCACAGAAGTGCTTAATTTACTGTTATGTAATCTTTGTACATAGGCAGTATTCTTCAGCAAAACTTCTTGCTGAAGACCTACAGTGACCTTATGTAGATAGTGGTCCTCCTGTTGAGTACAAGTGTCTTACCTGTACAGATGTAAAAGTCACTGAGGATGATAAAATGAAATTGGGGTACTATTTTAAGGACTTCTTGTGTTTATTATAAAGTGGGATGCTAGCAACAAATATAGTACATTTAACAACACTATTGTATTTTATTATATGTAATTTACTAATACAAATAAATCTTAACTTTTAGAAATTGTAACCAAGGATGTAATTGGATTACAATTTTGTTTTTAATTTTGATGCAACACACTGGTGTTCATGTTTGCACAATGTATTGAGATGTGATGTATTTAGTCACAAAGGTAAGCTGTGACTTTGTGGATATGACTTGGGCTTCAGATTTCCTTCTTTTTGGTTTACTTGAGTAGTTTTCTTTGTGAGACAAAAGAGTTAAACACCTGTATTTTTATATTTAATTAAAACTTTCATTACAATAATTTCTCTATGCTTGAAAAAAATACTTCCTGAATGGGTGTCAGTCCCCAAATAGTGGTACCTTGCTGTAACACTGCAATAGGTGTTTGAATTACTTGTGTATACAATGGTTAAAAATTAGCATTACTGTTCATCTTAATAAATAGTTTCATATCACAGTGAAAAGTAGCAACATTCCACACTGTGGAAATAGCTCAAAGATCTTGTCACTTTGACTTTTTTTGGCCTTAACCATTTTCACACTTTTCTTGATTTAGGGTGTTAACACATGGCCAAAATAATTTAGTTACTACCTCATGCAAACAATACAATGGTTACTGCGTATCACAGGAACTTAGTTTTGATCAGAAGTATTTTTGATTGCTATTTTCCAATGGAGTATGTAAATGCCAAGTTTTAGCAAAATGCACACATTTGACTCCTTTTTTGTATATGTTCTTTATATTTTATTGTGATAATATACACTAAAAGCAAACTAAATTTAAAGTGATTTATGGCCTGCATTATTGTTGTGATTGGTAATGCTTTGGAAAATGTTCCCTCATGTATATAATGTAAAATAAACTTTTTTTAACACGTTGTTGTACAAGTAGATTACCACCTGCACTAATTTCTGCATAAGACTAACCTGTGCTGATCAAACATACTCAGTTTTGAGTTCTCCTATTAAATGTTGATGTGCCAAACAGGGAAGCTGGGCCTACTGAACGTATGAAGGGTCAGACTTTTGGGTCTCCACTGGATTTTGGCTATTTGGCTCCTCAGGGTAGGTGTTACCTTCCTCTTGGCCTTTAAGCACCTGACCTTTACACTTCAGAATTTGTCTTCCCTAATTTCAGCTTACTTCTTGCCTTCCATATCTTCCCCCCACCCCATTGCCTAGTTTTCCACATACAGTGGCAGCAAAGTGATTTTTCCCACCTGCAGGGCTCTCTTCCCTGCCTATGGGACTCAGCTATGTTGCTTCTGCTGGCCCCATTCCCTCTCCTCCCTGCGCCTGAACTTCAGGGCAGTCCCAGAGGGGGAGATGGTACCATGAGCCCCCCTGTCAGGAAGCTGAATTCTCAGTAAAGGCAAAAAGTTCTGTGCAGTTCACAGTGCATTTTTGCTACTGCTGCTGCCTCAGGGGGATTTCCATCTCTCACAGCCTCTTCCCCACTTAAACACACAAGAAGTGGCTGAATTTTAAGCAAAATGTCCCTAAAAACACTTCAGCTGATGTGTAAATGAGCACTCCCTGAACCTGCTTCCTCCTGCTGGTTTCTGCAGCAGCTCTAGCCCCTTCTCTTGCTGCTTTGAGGCTGCAGCTAAGTTACAGGAACTCAGGGGCAGGGGTTTCATTTTGGCTGAATGTTTTTTGGTGTGTGGATGCAGTGTGGGATGCAGCTGGAAGAGATGGCTAAATGGAAACTAAAGAGGACAGGGCAATGTTATGTGACAGGAAGGGGAGAGGAAGGTGGTGCTGGAACAGGTTTGTCTCCGATGCGTTTAAGTAAAGACAGCTTGGCTGCTTCTATGTGCTGCTCTCTGGTCTCAAAGATGAGGAAGTAGCAAGGTTTTTTCCTCAAATCCACAAAAATGCTGGAAGGGGAAGGGGGGTGGCCTGCACACTAGGCTGCTCCTGAAATCGGGAGGCCTCCAAAGGGCTTCTGTCCTGTGACAAATTGTCCCATAGCAGAAGTGGGGCTGCGAGACTGCTCCTCTGGCTTCCCGAGTGCCGTTGCTCTTGTGCTGCCTGAATCCCTGCGGGAGCAAGGTCTGCTCTGCCAGGCTTCCATAGCCACCTTTCCTGGGGTAAGGCTGCAGCTTCCTGGAAGGAGCAGGTCCCTAGCCAGGAAACCCAACCAGAGGCAAGACTGCAGCTGCAGTTACAGCAGCTCCTCTAATGGCTGGGGTGGGTTCTGCTTTCCTCCCTGCTCCCAACCCCATCTCCTCTGGCTGTTCCCAGGCAGGAGTGTGCTGCACCTTCCCACAGGCTTCAGCTTTAGCAGCGGCTCATTGGGTTTTAAAGGGTTCTACACAAACCCCTGGAAAGAAGCTGACAAAGGCAGAGGATGTGCCCAAACCTCTTGCCTTCCTTGGAGGAAACAGCCTGGGTTAATCTACAACATGGGTTATGCACAGCTGTATTTCAGGCCTGCATGGAGAGATGCAGGGGCAGCTGTGGGAGGACAAGTGGCTGATGAGGGGGACACGACCCTGGTAGACTCTTGAGAGCTGCTTTATGGAGAGTGGGGTTAGCTCATCTGCCTCTCAGCAGCATCCCCTGCAGTGTGGCTGCTTTCATGTCCTTCCCTCCTCCAGAAACACCTTGAGTGCAATTGTTCCCCCGGAGCTAACTGAAATCCAACATGATCCATGTCCAAAAACACGTGTGTGGCTTCAGTCCCTGCCAGGCCCTTCTGGTGACGTCCCCTCCTGCTCCCCCCAGCAGGTGCTCAGGCTGGAGCCGGGCTGTTGCCCCGAGGCCTAGCTGCACTCCCAGCCCTTGGAGGATCATATGGCCAAGCAGCGCATGGCAAAGGGCTGCGGTGCCCTGGGGACCCCCGAGATCCCCCTCACCCACACACTGCAGACAGTCCCGGAGGCCACCAGCGTCCTGGCTGCCACCCTTCGCTTTGGCTCCTTCTGATGGACAGCAATGGCAACCAGCACCGTCTCCACCTCTCCTGGCTCCAGGGCAGGTCATCCCGCTGCCCGGCTCCCCACATTTCCCCTTACCACGGCGCTTTCTCCTTCCCCTCTTGCTGAGACTCACCCGTCATTAAGTCCTGCAGCAGCTCCTGCCCATTCCTTCCCGCAGCAGCTTGCTCCATAGGGAACACCAGGAAGGCCGCCGTCCTCCCTCTGGGTCCGTAGGAGCCCTGCTCGTGGCAACGCACATGTCCACACCAAGTAGCCGGCAGCATCTGTGCCTGGTTGGCAGCACTTTGCCTGCCTCGGCTGCTCTCCGTGGATGATGGGGCATGAATCTAGAGATCTGCGTCCTCAGTCGGTGAGCAAACAACATCCTAGTGCTCTCAGTCACGTTCAGGGGATAGGTGGGATTTTTCCCATCCTGCCTTAGATGCTGTTTTAATTTTTCTGTGTTCAATGAAGCAACAGCTCCCCGGACAGCCCCAGTGGTAACTGCAGCACACTGAGTTGCTTCACAAGTAAAACTGCGTCCTCCCACACGGCACACAGAGTGCGTCTGGGATTAGGTAGAGAACAAGTAGCCATCGAGAAGCCTGGGCTGCCCTGTCCGCTGACTAACACAGGGCTCCCAGAATGGGGGGCTACATGGTCCGTACTGGACAGGCCTGGGCATGGGAGGGCTCCGGCCCCGCTGTGGAAATGGCCCTGTTAGAAGAGGAGCCTTCACTTTGCCTAAAAAGCCACTCAAGTAACCGTAGGCTTTCGCCAACAGCCCAAGCCATGGCCATTTAGGCAATACTTGGGGTTCAGATGAAAGACAATTTCCCTCAGGCTAGTCAAGGATCTCAGATCCCTCTCCTTGCCCTGCCTGACCATCATGTCCAAAGAGAGGGTCTGGAGCATTGCTGCAGTCTCACACCCTGGTCTATGCACATGCAGGAGCTCCTGAAGTATTGCACTGCAGGATTTAAACTCTGGCAGACTGATTTTTCACCATAAGGCAATGAGTACAGCATCTTCCCAGTCTATCAGATGTTGAGACTGAGTGTTCCTGAATCTGCAGGCAGCCAGGCAGGCTGAAATAATAGCTCTGAGATGTGAAATTTCCCTCCTTTCATCCCTGTTCCAGCATGTTCAAAGCAGAAGCCCGACTCCTTCAGAGAGGAGAAATGTGCAGAGGAAAAATGCCCGAGGCCTGGCTGAGGGGTGAAGACAGCCTTTCTGAGAGGCTCCGTGCATTATCTGCCAAAGCAGTGCTAGCTCCTCAGGAACGTCTCCTGTCCCTAGCGCTTCACAAACACCAATTAGCGGAGCCTCCCGACGAGCATGCCATTCCTGACAGATGTTTGTCTAACCAGTCCGAAGGGAGACTCCACAGGCTTTCCGAAGCCATCTGTGCAGGTACGTCACCCTCCTCCCAACTTGAAAGCTAGCCCTAAGCCTTCCTTTCAGCAATCAGCACAGATTTTTGTATGTCTTTCCTATCCCTCTCTCTGAGCTCTGTAACAGCAGGTCGCTATCGGCCCTTGTGCTCTTCCTGGCCCTCGAACCTTGCAGAACAGAGCAAAAATTATTCTCTCCAGTATCATCCTTTCTTCCCTGCCTCCTGCCTATCAGGGCCCACGGACCAGCAGGGACTTTGTGGTGATTAAGCCGCTGCACCCTTGTTCTCCCTGACCTTTTCTTTTGGATTATTTTCCTCCAGAACCAGGCTCACTTTTCACTCTTAAGGATGTCCTGGCACTGCTTTAATGCGTGTTCATTTACACCTGCCTTCTGTCCACGCGTGAGGTGACTGTACGCGTCGCGCAGCAAGAGACCAAAGGCCCCCAGGAGGCATCACGCAGCCTCACAGCCTCCCGCCCGGCACAGTCACAGCCGCACAAAACAAGAGTCCATGATCCCCAGTACAAGAGGGATGTGGAGCTGCTGGAGAGAGTCCAGTGCAGGGCTACGAGGATGATCAGGGGCCTGGAACATCTGCCCTGTGAGGAGAGGCTGAGGGAGCTGGGCCTGTTCAGCCTGGAGAAGAGAAGGCTGAGAGGGGACCTGAGCAGTGTCTAGAAGTACCTCAAGGGAGGCAGTGAGGAGGAAGGTGCCGGCCTCTTTTTAGTGGTGGCCACTGACAGAACTAGAGGTAATGGCCACGAATGGAACCACCAAACGTGCCACAGAAACTTAAGGAAAAAAATTTTAACAGTGAGGGTGACGGAGCACTGGAATGGGTTGCCAAGGGAGGTTGTGGAGTCTCCTTCTCTGGAGATCTTCCAAACCTGCTTGGACACAGTCCTGTGCCATGTGCTCTAGGTGACCCTGCGTGTGCAGGGGAGTTGGACTAGACGA